CTTATTCAAAGATCAAAATTCATTGTGCCTGATGATATTCGTAGGGCAGTTTGTAGGTTGACCCTTCATAGCAGTAACCTTGTGAAATGTAACCAATGGTCAAAATACACTGATAATACTCACAGGTCAGTTTGAAGATGCTAGCTTAAAACATCCTGCAAAATGTCACCAAATATTACGACAAACACTGCCTTGTATATATATATATATAAATAGAGTAAATTCGTCAAATTGCTTAACAGTCAAGACCATCATACACTACATGTACCTGTGCATCTATCAGTCTATGCAACAATTGTAATGACGTCATTAGAACGTAAGGCTTATTTCAAATTAATGGATAGGAGGTAGTGCTGCTTATAATATGAATTTCAACTAAATGATTATGGCCTATCTAAGTTAAATTACTTGTATAATGTACAACCTCAACTGTTTGACAAATAACGCCTATACCATGCATATATTTACTTAACATAAATCATAGGCCTACTTAGCCTATTTATAGATCTTCTACAGAAAAATATTAACTGTTATCACTTTTAAGCCTACATTTGTATTGGAATTAAACATAATTATCTTACAATGTTCTGCTGATAATATAATTAATCTTAAGGGAAAAAACATTAATTATATACAAAAATATTTAACCACGAGGACTTAAAATCCGATTTTTTAATCATCTTGGCCACCATATTGGATTTATGATCATTCCAGGAACAAATTAATGGTAAATGTGAAATAATGGCACTCAAAACCCTAAGTGTAGATACATATTTGGTTGTGATATTTCAAGTAGAGACAGAGATATGGTCAAACGTGTGTTTTGGCAGCCATCTTTAATATTACGAAACGCTCAACGCATCATCAAATTTGGAATCAGCAAAACCGAATTGTATAAGAATCATCGCAAAACATTTGCTAGACGCTACTTTTAGGTTAAATTCTAAACTAGGCCTTGGAAACTGGATTAATATTAGCATCTTTCAAATATTATGTAATGGGAACAACATTGATAGAAGAAAAATAAAAGAAGTTGTGAACAAAAACGTAATTCAAATATGAACAAAATGCTCGCACACCTTTCTAATAATTCATACTATATACGACAAATTACTTGATGGTGACCACATGAGTGGTTGAAACGTTTTTATATAGTTCAACAATAAAACAACCCACTCAAAAGCTGCGCCTGTAGATTTTAGTTAAAATTAAAAAGAAGTATCTGAAAGTGTAAAATTCAACCAATAAAGATTAAGTCGACTTCAATTTTTCAATAATACAAGTACAACTGTCAATTTCATTTTAGGACACTTTGCCACTGCCTGGTACAAAAATGTAAACAATGTTTTAATAGTGTGTTGGAACACCAAGAACTTTAATCACAGTCTAACTCCATCGTGATATAGACGATACTAGTTCTGATCGATTTTCACCAATTCTTCAAACAATGTTTTTGTGTCCAAATCTTCCTGGCTTGAAGGTGAAGGAACGCAAACTCTAGAATAACCTGTTGCTTTCAGTTGGGTAGAAATTCTCGAGTGTGCTGACTAGATAAGATGGTGGAACTTCTCAGATTACTCAAGTACATCACGAACAATAAATTTACAGTGTATGGTGACATTGTTGTTTTGAAATATTCATCACCTTGAGGATAAAAAGGGAACATAATAGGGTATGCGTGATCCCCGCAGATACTCAAATATTAACAGGATGTAATGCGACTAATGAGAGAAACTAAGGGGTCCAATCCATGTGATGATAATGTACCCCACACCATTATTCCATCTACAGCATCTTGTGCAGTGAAGCTTCATGTGGTTGCTTCCAAACTTTGACTCTCGGTCATTTGTAAAGAAGATCGTGTGCCGAAACTCATCTAAGCACACGACACATTTACATTGATTAACTATCCAATCCCAATGATCTATGCGCCACTGTGGACGCACCATTTTATTGACAGTTGAGACTAATGGTTTAACATTTACCAAAATTAATTCCTCGCAACTTCCTGTTCTTGTTGAAAATTAATGGTCCTGTTGTCATTTGGTAGTTACTATACTATTGAATGCCTATTTTCCTTCAAAGCATTTGCTACTTGCTGTTTCTTTTGTTTATAATTTCTCCAGCTTGATGAGTTTTGTTGATATTTCTACAGGGCTAAATAGACTCGTGAAATGATCGTCTTGATTTTCTAGTCAGTTCCATTGCTTTTGCTATCGAGGATTCATCTAATGTGTCTCCTAAAAATAAGGCACTTCCATAACATCCCCATCTTAATGAAGACAGAGATAGACACATAAACTACTTGCATTATATGTACTGTTGCATTAGTCTTATAAAGCACATTTCGTTGCTTATTTGCACATCAAATAGTGAGAGAGCCCTAAAAAATGCATTATGGAGTTTTAGTATATTTGTCAGAGAATATATGTGACAATTATTTTGATATGTTTATATATCGGTATAAAAGGTAGGTTAAATTGTTTTCAAGTAACATGTTAGGGCAGTACGTTCTTTTTTTTTTAACTTCATAATACACATCTATATATAACTTTTATCAGAACCTACTATTATCAATTCGGTCCTCCGATGAGACAGCGATAAGTCTATGGATATAAAACTCTAAAATCTCGGGTTCGGTTCCCTGCAGTGGACACAACAGATAGCCCAGTGTGGCTTTGCTCTAAAACACACACACACACAAACACAAATAAACATTATCTGTTTGAGTTTCAAACCACTAAAATGATTAAAAAAGTAAGAAAGTACTCAATAAATTCATTTTATACATTACACTTTACATGTAAAAAAATACCAAATGAAACACGAATATAAACTTAACCAACTTACCAAATGAAAATAATGTATTTATGATACTTCATGAAACGACAGAAATTTCTAGATAAAAGATCAGCGGATCTTATTTTGTCTTTAAATAACTGTTGTCTAAAGATATATATTTTAATTCACAGTTAGGTGTAGTTGCACTTCGTTTTACCCATCATTGGTGAGTCTTGAAAAGTATTCTCTCTCATTAGTGCTTTATGTTCCGAAGAACTAAGTATTTTATTAAAAATATGCTTTCATATATAATTTTACATGTGTTATAGTTAGTCTTGAGGCAGGAAGTTATAAAAGCAGTTTTAACCTTTCGAATTTCTTGATAAGCTAAAATACGGTGCTTTCTGTATAGTCTCCTGAATTTTGCTCTCGTTTGTGCAGGTAATCTTGAATAAGAATAAGCTGTCAGAGTGACGAGATGCAGAATTTACCAGAGTTTCTCTGTTCTAACAGTTCTATATTTATGTAGATAGGTCTTAGAAATGTGTGATATAGTAAATTATGTTTCAGTTAATTACTTATTGCTTCTTGATGGTCAGAACTTGCACTATTTATTGGAGTTGTATTTAGCACCTTCAGTTATAAAGTAGGTTAACACAATCGATCTAAGTATTTCGAACTTGTTTTTATGGCAACCATTTATGCCAGTTTATCAAAATTATATGTACAATGTTACTGTTTGGCATGCATCTTTTTCTATAAGATTTTACGATTAAGCTACAGATTAGCTGTTATATAGACTCTTGTCTCATTCAAAGTAGCGAGATAATTTTTTTTCTAACATATAGACAATTACTTTTCTCTCTATCTTAAAGAAAATGTCCGCTTCTTTAGAAAGTGAGTAACTATCAAACCTCTTCAAAAATATCAGAGCTACTAATATCCTTGAAGTTTGGCATAAACTCTAAAGAGGTTGAAAAAAATGGACCTTCTTTGCCTACAATTGTTTATATTTAATAGCTTACGTATATGCCCATGCTTACGTTTATACAAATATATATTGGAGTATTCAATAAAAGTGAAAATTAAATGATGATGGTGATAATTGAACCAGCAAATAGTGCAATTAATACTACCCCAGCAAACAATAAATGAATTAATAAAATTAAATTTTACCTTAGCGTGTTAAAATTCACACAATGGGTAATTTGAAAGATTAATATTAGTTTATTATATATGGTTGACATAAATAAAAATCCTAGATACACAGTTGACTTCATGAATACAAATAAATCCAGCTATGTCTTTATTTGTAATTTATAGATGTACTAGCTGGAGTACCCATCTCTTGTACGGAAGTTATGTAAATTCATGATGAATGAAATGTTATCTTAGAACATGAAAAGCTGCTTCCCTTGTATGTAATTGTAAAAAAAACGCAAAAACGACCATAAAAATTGCAAAACACAAAATATGAAACCGCAAATGTGCATGTATCTTCGCATGGACCCAACAAACGTTCATGCCAACTTTGGTGAAAATTCATCAACAGGGGCGAAGTGGTGTTAAAAAAAACGAAATAAAAACTCCTATAAAAAGTGCAAAACACAAAGTATGAAACTGTAGATTTGTATTTACCCTCCCTCACATGAACCTCACGAACTTCTATACCAATTTTGGTGAAGATCCATCCACACCCTGATAAGTAGTTACATGGACAGACAACAGACAGTAAGTACTATTATAGCCAAAGAAGGGCACAGGGCACTGCAATTTTAAATACTTTGCTAATATGATATTAAGCATTAGTTTATTTACTTGATAGAAAATCTCTGACATAACAACTTAAAATATTTGACGGGATCACGTTAACATTCCCACAAGGGTGTTCGTAAAACATTGTAAGTTTGGTGCTTCTGATAGCATCTGTTCTTGAACATTTCCTCTTTGAAATTGTGTACTTCTAACGGACACCTCATTGTGCATTTCTGCGCTAAAACGCAAACATTGGAATTACCTCCACAATGTTAAACAATACAGCAACAACAATTTATTGTAAAGTTTATTATCGTAAAGTTTAACATTGTTGGTGTGTTTTCATTTGCAAAAATAAAAATAAGTTTATGTTCTGAAGTGCCATTAAAAATATCAGTTAAATAACAGTTATTTTACGAAACTCACATCAATATGTATAATATACAGAAATTGTACATTTCCAGATACAAAAATTACGTGTAACCGGTACTCTACCAATTGGACACCGTGTTCATCAACTTGTGGCGTAGGTTCATCCAGACGATTGACCAATGATAACGATGATTGTGAACTGAGAAATGAGACTCGCTTATGCCAGATTAAACCTTGTAATTACCAGATTGGTGAACTTTCATCCAATCACAGTCCTCGTAGTAGACGAGTGAGTAATTATCACCCGATTCCTTGCTGTCTTTACAATGCTTTGTTTGTTTTTTAAACTTAATACAAACAAATTAACAGAAAGATACAATTACTTTGCATTGAAAACAAAATGTGGAATATGGAAATATCAAAATTAAACAACTAATTAGGCAGTACGGTGTTTTTATATTTTGAAAGTAGAAGTTTGAATATCTATATATGTAACACATTCAATACCTTTTATTTTATGTTCCCAATATGAAAGGTATTTCAAGACTCAAAACGTAGTTTAACTAAGTTTATGCTTAAGGTCTGATATCATTAGATGATTACATTGGACACAAACGTATATTCTTTAGTTTTTCACCTCGAACGGTAACGTTTGATCAAAGGTATATTTATAATTTTGCCATTCTCCATAGTATTTCATGATAAAAAGCAGCAAGTTGGCCCTGTAACCTAGATAATAGTTTAGGTTTGTTCTCATAGAAGTAAGGCATTGTTTACTTCAAATACTTGTATCTGAGATTACTCCTCAAATAACCCACTTTTATGTTTCTTTCTTGTTATAACACTCGCTGTAAAAAAACTGAACAAAATATAGGGTGAAATATCTCATTTTTAATGTAAAGTATATAAAGGATTCCATCAAGTGATTAATGGGATTAATTGCATCATTGGTGGTATTTTTGTCTAGATTTCATTTTGTGTTATACATACATTATTGATAGTCACGTAACCAACAATTTCATTAACTCTGCTCCCAAGTAGCTCAGTGGGAGGTCTGAGGGATTATAACGCTACAACTTCTGATTTCGATATTCGCAGTTGACAGAGCACAGGTAGCTGATTGTGTAGCATTGCGATTAACAAAAAGCAAGCAAGCAAACAAACCATGCATAGGTCCACGAGCAAGTTGGTTGCATAAATAATTTATAAAAATATGTTGAAGAAGCTGATGGGATTCACGAACCCCAATAGATAATTATAAGGTTATGTGAAATATTTAATGACGCAAAAAGCATAAAAATTATTTTATTTGTTCTTTATACAATTTTTATCATTCCGCAATATTATTAATATGATCAATATATCAAATAATAATCATTCTCTAGAAATATAAAAAGGACAAACAAATAAGTCCTTTTACTAGCTCGTCAGGACAACTACAACAAGGCCGCTGTATTTCTGAGCTAAATTACAACATTCGAAGATCTTCTATTGTCAAGCAGGAAAACATTCTTGGAGCTTAAGCTTTATAAAGCTGTGAATTTTTTTATTAGTTTGATAAGCAGGCTTTGAGATTTTCGCTAATTCTTTTGCAATCTCGTTGATTATGTTATGTTACACGGTAAAGCCGAAACAAATCACAATGTTGGGTTAAAACATTTATAATCCAACTTAAAGTGTGTAAAGTGGATATTAATTCGTCATTCACATAGGTCTCACTGAAAGAAAGTGTTATTATTAAAAACATTCTTATTGAACCTTTTTAAAAGAGTCTGTAAATGAGAGTAGCTTGTATTCGTTTTTTGTCGTTTTTTAAAAATAAATCATTGACATATACACTGCTTCGTGCTCGTGGAAATTGGGAACTTTGCAGCGGTCTTTTGATTATTTATTGGTCTCTTCAGATTGAGTTAAAGCCAACTAATTCTTCTTTTAGTTTACCCCTAAAATAGAGAAACGAATGTCTGAAAGAAGAAGCTTAACGTCTTTTATCTCATCCAGACAAACTTATTGGTGGTTATGACTAGAACAGTAACTTTGTATAACTGAAATTTATTAGTCGCTATTGGCACTATATTTGAGAATTGCACACCTCAGCGTCTGAAAATGTCTATAAATGTACCTTTTAAGCAGAAAAAGTGCTTCTGTAAAATAAGGGCATACATTTGTGTCCATCATCATATGCTATTGATTTTTGTAAAAGTTTTTTGAGTTTTATCATTAACGATTAAGGTTATTCTGCACGTGTAATTTTATCGAGATATCGCTACTTTTGTTTTCTTTTTTAATTTTGGTCTGTTTTTTATAAGTAATCGTGCACTTATTTTCCAACAACCTGCTCACTTCCTTACCCCCGGTGACTCAAAAGGTAAATCTGAGGGCGTATAACGCTAAAAAGCGTGTTTCAATACCTGCGGGAGCACAGCACAAATAACTCATTGTGTAAAGAATCTAAGTTTCAAATGGACAAAAATTGCCTGTTGTAGACACCTACAAATGTAGAAGATGACGTTTTGAAAGTCTTCCGCCTTTCGTTTTCAGGTGTAGTTTTGTGCTCAACAACTTACAAGAAACCGGCTAGAAACGTACACGGCACTCATGTGTTTAACTTAGCTAATGCCGAAAAGCATTTAGTTTACATACGTAATGTAAATATTGTGCTCGGATGTAATGTTTTTGAGTTACTTTTATGTTAAGTATTGTCATATTTTACTTCAAGTTTAGAGCACTGTAGTGATTCCAGCCAAGTTAGAAGGATGTGGAATGATACTGCAGTGACACTATTTAGAGAACCGGACTTTTTGTCAATCCGGGGTGTTGCCACGGCTGTTACAAATGCTGAAAATGTCACTATTCTAATTTTTCTGAATAGACTCAAACACCCTTACATGACATTAAAAATAACAGCTTCATATTTATTTGAGAATAATATAGAATAATTATTCAAAACGTATAGTAAACAAATAACTGTCACGAAACAAAATTCCGCTGGTAGATATAACGTTTAACTATGGTTTAAAAATGCAACTCGTATATTACTGGTGAGTTGCCTTCCACAGCCACTAGGCTAAAACTCACAACTTAAGAGCCTATAGAGACACGGGGAAAGTTGGAAATGGCGTAGCGGTCAAAACACTACCTCTCTGTTGGTAGCTTTTCCTCACAGCGAGTGTTTGAATTTCACTTTTGGTGGAATCTTATATAACTTTTGTTCTTTAAATTCGTTGACCTTTAATCCACATCTTGTTAAAACCAGGCTTTATTTAAAAGTTCAAGTTTTGTGTTTTTCAAAATTGTATTCAAAACAAGAAGTAATGTATTGCTGCTAAGTAGAATCTGTTAAATAATGCATTACCGGTAAGTAGAATCTGTTAAGTAATGCATTACTGGGAAGTATAATCTGTTAAGTAATGCATTACTGGGAAGTAGAACCTGTTAAATAATGCATTACTGATGAGTAGAACCTGTTAAGTAATGCATTACTAGTAAGTAGAACCTGTTAAGTAATGAATTGCTGGTAAGTAGAACCTGTTAAGTAATGCATTACTGGTAAGAAGAACCTGTTAAGTAATACATTACTGGTAAGTATAACCTGTTAAGTAATGCATTACTGATAAGTAGAACCTGTTAAGTAATGCATTACTGGTAAGTAGAACCTGTTAAGTAATGCATTACTGCTAAGTAGAACCTTTTAAGTAATGAATTACTGGTTAGTAGAACCTATTAAGTCATGCATTACTGATAAGTAGAACATGTTAAGTAATGCATTACTGGTAAGTAGAACCTGTTAAGTAATGCATTACTGGTAAGTAGAACCTGTTAAGTAATGCATTACTGGTAAGTAGAACCTGTTAAGTAATGAATTGCTGGTAAGTAGAACCTGTTAAGTAATGCATTACTGGTAAGAAGAAACTGTTAAGTAATACATTACTGGTAAGTAGAACCTGTTAAGTAATGCATTACTGATAAGTAGAACCTATTAATTAATGCATTACTGATAAGTAGAACCTGTTAAGTAATGCAAAGTGAAGCTGTATAGACAACTTGAAAAGTAATTTTACGTTAAGTGGAGTTACGAATTAGTATTCTTAACTTTGTTTAACGCAAACTGGAGAGTATTTTGAGACATTCTATAAAATTAAATAAAATCACGACCCATATCTCCAGAATATATTAGCTCAGTATTTCGTTATTATGTTTAATAGATAACATTGTTAGGAGAAACTATTACAGAGAAAAGCTTAAATATAAGTATAAACAATGTATCTTTGAAATAGTAATAAATATCGAATAAAAACACTAGGAATCCGGAATTTATTACATTAATGACAACAGGACAGAGTTTATGTTATTATTTAGTGTTGGTTAATCATTGAAAATGGCGAGGATTTTTTTTAATAAAGAGATCGTAATCTATGGTTTTGGAGTCGATAATTTTAAAGTTTCATAGAAGTATGGAGTGATCGTTATTCTCATTGTGCAATCGGATGCAAGACTCGGGTGGATTACTTGGCTTACATCCGCTTCTTGCTGAAATTACCATGTGCTCGTGTTCGCGTATTTCTAGATGGCATGTAGTTTTACCAATATAAGGTAGTTTTACAGCTACCACAAGTGATGATGATGGAAGTTAAGGAAATTACGAAACGTCCGTATTAAAGATGTTTTCAGTATTACCGTATTTTTAATATATATAATACATTATATTTCATTTTGTGTATAACTTCGCGAGATTACGTTCTCTGCCTGTTTTGTAAAACATTTTTATCCGAGATCATAAACTTGTATCATAACGAAGTTTTTATTTCGTCATCTCATTATGTTATTGTGCTCGTTACTTTGAAATGAATTTACAGTTATAGTCATTTGAACTATCAACCAATGAGGGATATGCGCTAGAATGATACAATAAATCTTTGTGTCACAACACCCTGATCATAGTATACAGATAGCGTAAGACACATATTATATAATAAATCGTTTTTCTGGATGCTTAATTATATGTTTCAGTATCATTTAACACATGTATGTTTTAACTCTTAATCCTTTCTCTTCTCTAAGCATCATCAACACTGTCGAGCTACAGTCCGGAATCTAGACTTCATATATCTGACCGATGGTCACAACTGTGTCAGCCTAAAACGCTATCGTCCGAAGTTTTGTGGCCACTGCTCAGACAAGTCTTGTTGTACACCTAAACTATCAACTACGGTCAACGTTCCATTTCGATGCTATGGCGAAGAAGAGGGAACGCAAGTGATGTCAAAATTTGTGATGTTTATTGTTAAGTGCGAATGTCATTCTAAATGTTGAGAAGGGGCTTATTTTCAACCAAATTTTACACTTCTGAAACCAGTGATTTTTTAGGAACTAAATTTTGAAGACGTGTTAGAAAGGAAGAAATAAAAGTATTTGAGTTTACCTGTTTGACAATAGAGGAGCTGGACCGATAGGCATGAGTTGGTAAAGACTCGTGATTCTTAACATGTTAAAAACAAACCACATTTTCATCATATTATCTTACAAAATGAAGACTTTTAGTCACTGCAGGTGGCGTATTAGTCTTCAAAATACTCTTGTTTGTCCTGACGAATTCAGAAGATGAATTGTTCAGGAAATAAGACAATCATGTAAAAAAATATATACCATGCTTTTAAACAACAACGTGCATCATACTCTGAAACAAACAACATGATAATGAGAGAAAATAGTTTCTGGAAAATTTTTTACTGCATTTAAAATGCTTTGTCAGTTAAAACATCGTGTAACGTTAACATTGTTATGTAGGTATACGTTGGTGGTAAGTAATCGTATGCACAGTAGGTCTTGTTGTCGTTTACCACTTGTGAAAACCAAAATAATGACAAATCAGTAAGTTATACCCGTTGATTTGATAACTCAATAAGTTAACTACGCTAATTTGTCATTCTTTGGTTTTCAATATATCGTAAGCTGCAGCTTGAAATTTAAATAAGTTAGTTTTTAATCTATAAATTACAATATATTGATATTGTTTTAACTCTCAGATCACTATAATGAACGAAATGTAAGTGTTAGGACACAAATACGTCACTGAATAGATAAATACACGTAATAAGCACGCTTTTAGACGAATGTTCAATTATAATTTAAACCTAAAAAAAATATAGCTTTATTACATGGCTAATTATTAATGAATTTCGCAAATAATTGAAGATGGAAGACTGTCCCTTCGTTCTGATTACAACTATGTAGAATTATTTGCGTTTAAAAGTATCGAATTGGCTAGGATAAATATTTAAAATTTGTAAATGTGCATCTATCGTTTCTGGGTATGGAAATGACCCATCATATTCATTGCAAGTAAAAGTCCCATACTAATAAGAAACCTTAAGTACCACGTTCTTACAGGAATTAAAATAAATACCACACCCGTACACAGGATAAAACTCTAATTCCATACCCTGTATGGTTTTGACTTCTTAATGAAAAGTCCAACAACAAAAAAATAGTTAAAATTTCTCAGAAAGAGATGTTTAAATGTGAGATAAGTTGGTCAGTTGTCTCGATCTAAAGATAGATATTGTTATAGTACTATAGTTGCCTTGATTTCAAGATTGGTATTGTTATCAACATAAATAATGTTAGAGTCAGAGAGGTGTCTTTGTTTCAAAATATATATTGTTAGAGCGAGAACGTAGCCTGGAGTTCAAGATAGATTTGGTTAATGTCAGATAGTTGCTTTGATATAAAGGTACGTACTTAAGATTTAAGGGTTTGTGAATTAAAAAGAACTAAAAAAAAACACTTAAATCCTATATATGCATCACTTTTACAAGAGGCTTAACTGTATTCCTCTGGTTTGCTGACCCAAGCTGTACTCATAAGACTTGAATAGGCGAAATTGCAGTCCACGGCAGAGGGTACAGCCAATCAGGGAATGCATTAGATCTCTCTTCAATTTTACCTGCAATGAAAGAGAAAAGAAATCTGTAACATACATATAAAGGTACGTACTGTCAGACAACGATAAACTTTAGACCAATATTACATGAATGTGATACAAATGTAACTAGAAATACTAGAGCATTGAAAAATATTGACATAATGTCCAGAACAGATATTATAAAACATGCAGTAACTGTATTTCTATCATACATACTTTTTTGAAAAGTGGGTTAAAATACAGAGATTTTTTTTAGTATCCGTTTATGACACCAGGGTGTAATTTTACGCGAAAGTCTTTCTATATTCTCTGTAAAAGAAATACAAAGGTATTGCTAAAGAATGGTTTAGAAATTTGCCTGCCTATGTAAAAGTAGGTGTCTAAAAGAAACACAGATATTAATGTTTTAGAAAGTCATCTTATTAAAAGTGTTTTGGAAAAAACAACCTTGATTTATATTAAAATTCTGTGTTTTTGTTCATAACCTTTGTTTTTCATAGAAAACAGTTTAGATATTTTAGATTCGAAGAGCACTGTGATTTTGAAGTTTCCCAGAGCTTTTCGTTCAATAAGTCGTTTTGCCAGTGAAGTAGTATCTAAACACCTAAAGCATTTTAGATTATTAGTGGCGATTAAAGAACTAAACATCTGAATCAAACAAACTACTCAAATTCCACCACTATATGTGACCTACTTTATTTATTTGCATCACTGATGAGTCGTGAATTCGGCGAAAAAATAAATTAACAAATAAGCAAAACTGCCATAATTGTTAAGGTGTCAACCGAAAGTCCTGGAATATTAAACGACACCTACCGAGTTAAATAAAACACTTGAAAATGGGCTGCATAATTAAAATATTAATTTTGCACTTTCAGATAATTTCAAATAAAGAGAATTGTTTTATAAAACGATACTTAAAACAGAAATATAACAGGTGTTTTACTTAGCAAATAAATATCACAATTTTGTTGTTGAAGATGAAGCACGTGTAGATAAATATACTGACTTCTTAATACATCTATTTCATAATGTTTCCTTCAGAAGGTAATATTTTTGATACTTTAATTACATAATTTATACATATCATTTCCATGCTTGTCAGAACGAATGTAGTATTACAGATTCTGGATCAAAGGGTCCATGGTTCGCGTTCTGTTACCACAAAATTGCGTTCCTACTTAGAAGTCATGGGTGCGTTATTAGAGTGACAGCCAAATCTCACTATTTCATTATAGTAGCGCAAGAGTTTATGGTGGGTAATATTGCTTAATTACCTTCTCTCTTGTCTATCTGGGGCCGTACAATACACAGTAGCTAACGTACTTGATTATGGATTTGCAGATTCGGCGTTCGCGTCCTGTTACCACTAAAATATCAATATCAAAAATAGCAATCCCCAACATATTTTCTTACTGAAACATCACAGATATGGCGGTAGTTGAAGTATGATGAGAGCAGAATTGAGTATTAGTGAATCTAACGATCTCTACATCCAGCAGGATGGTACCTAAAGTGTAACACATGATAGGGGCCATAATCTACGACCTTGTATTCCATCATATTCTTCTGCATATGATGTTATTACAGGTAACAACTCTCACCCTCACCATTATAAGATAATTGACACATTACTTCAAGATTGGTTAAATTTAATTGTGCCTGTATAGGATGCCCTTTATAGACGCTTCACATTCCATCAAGTGACTCCAGATAGAAAAAATGCCTTGAAAACAACAATTTCGGAGGAGTATTCCAGGATAAGTTAGGACCTTGTCAATCGTCATATGCTACCTCGATGCCAAGCTAGGACCTTGTCAGTCATCATGCTACCTCGATGCCAAGCTGTGCTCGTTGCTCTTAGTGACTATACTCCATATTATAAAATCATATCTACTAACTGTTCATAGGATGAATAATCTCTCGTTTGTATTTCAAATCACGTGACTGGTCATCATATGTCTCTTAACAACAGTTTTGCCTTGTCTTACCTATAATATTACAAATTTCGATTGTCCTTTAATTGGTTTGAGATAGTAGGAATACAGTGATTGGAGAAAGTATTAACTAATAAATTACGATCTGTTGTCCCCTTAGTACCTTATTAAGATTACAGTCTGAGAGGATGTTGTTATTCTTGCGTAGCTACATGTGATACTATTGGCAAAGTGGCCTTTTAATGTTTTAGTATGATAACAGTGTAGGTGTAAGCTGTTAACAAGATGCTACTACATTAAGATATTTTGAATTTCGCCCAAAGATACACGAGCCATCTGTGCTTACCGTCCCTAATTTAGCAGTGAAAGACTAGAGGGAAGGCAGCTAGTCATCACCACCAACTCTTGGGCTACTCTTTTACCAACGAATAGTGGCGGAAAGGGCGAACATGTTTGATAGGACAAGGATTCGAACCCGCGACTCTCAGATTGCGAGTGAAGCACCCTAACCACCTGGCCATGCCGGGCCACATTAAGATGTAACACGACTAAACTATTATTCTTTTGGAGTTTTAGTAGGATTAAAGTCTGGGAGACAGGTATCAGCTGGAATTCAGTGGTACCTACAGAGAAGACATATAAGGAGCAACTTCTTGTAGACATTTTTTTAGGGGAGAAGAGGGAAGATGACTGATGAAAATAAGTGATAAAAGTGTAAGTAGATTACTGGTTGAATTATGCAATTTTTGTTTTAGTTATACCACAACTATACGGTGGACCGTAGTTGTTAGAGATTGAGTGTAACCTATCCGTATCTTATAAAATGTTGAGTGTAATGCTATGGTATTATATTTTAAAGATGAGATAAATGGTATTGAATCTAAACAGTCTTAGCTTACATAAAATGTAGATGTATTCTGATTATTCTAAATGTTATTTTACTGATCTGCTCTTTACCAAATTTTAAGCGAATAAGTACTAAAAAGTCATGAATAAGCAAACTTTAAGGGAGTAACTACTAAAAACTCATGAATGAAAATAAAGAACAATGTGATAAGATATGCCAGCCACACTAGGTTTGCCGTATCCACTGTCGACGAAGCCTTTTGACTAAAACCAGGGCTCATCAGGCCGGCTGGGATACGACAGATGTAGTAGCGGTCTAGGCGCTGTGTTAATAGGATTAATCATGGGAAAAATATGTTAGCCTGCTGTAGCTACATTAAATTATAAAACGACTGGTATTTTGTTCTTCTAGTTTAATAGTATTACAGTATAGTAAAATGGGATTGGTCAGATATCACTACAATATAAGTCGCAACTGTTTTGCTATTTTTCTGGTGTGTTGGAAGGATAGGATTAGATCTTAGAAAAGATGTTAGCCGGATGTTGTCACATTAAATTGTAACATGTTTTCGTTTTTATTCTTCCGGTGTGTTGGTAGGATAGGATTAGAGTACAATAGAAGAATGTTAGCCGCTTGT